CAGTAGACACTGAGAAACAACACTGATGGTAAACGCTGATAAACAAGTGGCCATCTACTCTAGAAATTACGAGATAACAGATACCAGTGTTTAAAGTATTGGATAAAAATACTCTAGAAGTGTGTCGCTAGACAAAAAGGGAATGTGTTTAAAAATTGAGTATATGTAGTCAGGAGATGACATAATCGATAAAAGTGCCGTTTTTTGTCACTGACTTGTATGTCTTAACAAGACAAGAAACATTCTCGTCATTCATCCTTCGTGCGAGAAAGATTCCCTCCACGAGTAAAGGAAAACGCGAGGAAACACGACAAGTAAAAGCGGTCCTTCGAGAGAACAACTATCCCTCTTGCTTTATCAACGAATGTGAAAGAGCGCTGGCAACGAAACCATCTAAGCCTACCACATATGGTTTTGTAGTACTTCTATATGTTAAGGGTGTCTCCGAAACAATTGGTCACTTGCTAAAGCAACAAAGTATACAAGTTTCATACAAGCCACAGAGAACCATCAACAGTCTTTTTCCTCGACCAAAACAGCAGGATGAAACCAACCGTCCATCATCTGGAGTAGTGTACAGAANGTGCTTCGAGAGAACAACTACCCCTCTTGCTTTATCAACGAATGTGAAAGAGCGCTGGCAACAAAACCATCTAGGCCTACCACATATAGTTTTGTAGTACTTCCATACGTTAAGGGTGTCTCCGAAAGAATTGGTCGCTTACGAAAGCAACAAAGTATACAAGTTTCATACAAGCCACAGAGAACCATCAACAGTCTTTTTCCTCGACCGAAACAGCAGGATGAAACCAACTGTCCATCATCTGGAGTAGTGTACAGAATCAATTATTGCAGTCAGTGCGATTTTGTATACTATGGCCAGACCGAAAGATCACTGAAGATGCGGGTTTCCAAGCACAAAAAGGCTGTCTTAATGTTCGATCATAACTCCAAACTTGCGTGCCATGTTCACGAATGTCATCATCGCATGGATTTTGAAAACGTTGAAGTCGTCGGACACGAGGCACATTACCATCAGCGCCTTTTTCTAGAAGCTTGGATGTCTGTAAAACACCCGAACGTTGGGAATGATCACATAGTCATCCCTGAAGTCTACAAGTGCTTGGCATGCACTTAAAATTTTCTCGAGTCACATGCATACAGCATGTGCAACGTTTCAATTTTAAAAAAGTTTTTAAATCGCATGTAACATCAAGCGGTTTTTCAACTGATGAGCGCTTAAGAGTTAGCCGAAAGGTCTTGTTAAAATAGACAAGACAGTGACAAAAAACGGCACTTTTATCAAAAAGGGAATATAGATGTAAGAACTGAGATATACGTGAATTATACAATTAGATGTTTGGCAATCTTTCTAATGAAATTGACTTGGAATTTGTAAATTGGAATCTTAATGTTACATGAACAGGAATTGTCTTTGTCTGACTATGCCAGTGTCATTATCAGATTAAACTGAAAGTGATTTGACCTAAAACAGAGTTACCTTGTTTGCACTTCACTTAATTTAGAGATAATCAAGACAATTTTGTCT